CCTGGTGGTGGTCCTGGGCTGTTGCCCTCCCATCTGGTCCTCACCTTCTCTGCTCTGCACTGCAGGTGACTGACCCCTGCAGGCTCCAGACCAATGAGAGGCTCTGGCAGGAGACCAGAGGGTGGAACGTGGAAGGAGAGGAGAATCTTCGTCCGGCTCAGTCCTGAGTGGTATCTATGGAAGTGGATTGTATCTCCTCTGTGGTTCCAACTTCTTCCAAGTGACCCTGGCCCCCCGCCACTGATGACACTGTTTTCCCCCCAACCCAGGACTAATAGTGGATTCCTGGTTACCTTGCCATATCCTCCTGGGCTTCTCAGCTCTTCCGACCTCTGTGTAACCAATTCCTTGTGTGAAATTCCATGTTTAAAAACTCGGAATGAGTTCTGTTTCCCTGGTTGGGCCCTGCGTGATACAGTACACTCTGTCCATCCTCTCAACATCCTCATCACCTGGAATGATTTCGGTCCTCATCTGTAGTCACTTTTCAAGGTCTGCCCACCCTTGGGAAGGGTGTTCCCTAAGGGCAGGGCAGGGACTGGTCTGGAGGTCCCGCACTCCCTCCCCAGGGCCTGACACAGTAGGTGCCCGGAGCATCACATCTGTAGCTGGCTGCATATGAGAGCTAAGACAAGGTCATCTGACTCAGAGGCGGTTAGTGGGGTATCCATGGAGAGAAGGGATAGTGGGCAAAAAACAGACCGCCGGGGTTACACACAAGTGGGAGATGAAGCAGACACCAGGAGTACCAAGAAGTCTGGGAGTTGAGAGGGGAAAGTCAAGACAGGGGAAGGTTTTTTTTTTTCTTTACCGGTCTGTTTTTTGGCTGGGGAGACTCGATAACATTTGGAGGTTGAGAAGAAAAAGCTAAAGGTGAGGAATTGAAAGGCAAGAGATGTGGAGACACTGGGGCTAGAACACATGACCTAAGTGGTCTCTTAGGAGGATTAAATCCACCAGAAGGGTTGAGAATGACGTTGAGAGGAGACTGGAGGCAGGGAGGTGAGCTAGGAGGGGATAACCCATCAGGAAGTGAGAAGAATTTGAGTCAAGCCTCAACCCAGGGCTCCCTAAGAAGCCTAAGAAGGCTCCAAGGTCAGGAGGGGTCGCAGGTACGCCCAGGAGATGACCTCTTGGTAAGGTCAATTTTGCCTAGTGTTCCAGAGACCCCCACCCAGGCAGCTCCGTCCTTTGTGGAGATGAACACCTCTCTCCTCAGCCACGTCACCAGGGCTCCTCCTCTTGTCCCATAGCTCTGTGGCTCGCCATGTCCCCTTCCATCTCCCCTTGTTAAGCAGAATTAGTGAGAGTCAATCAGGATCCAGAATCTGCATGCAATGGTGTGCTGGTAAATGCTGAACAACCAGCTTGCGGGTAGGTAGGTCTGGCTTATATTGTTTGCTAATTTCTATGGTGTAAATATTCCCATCATGTCTGATTTCAAGCAACATGAGTTCCTGGCGGCAGGATAGGAAGAGAGCCCCAGCACACCACTGCCTGAACCCATTCCCTCTCCTGCCTCCCTAGTCCCACCAATACCTCTGGACTGGGTGGCAGCAATGGGGCAGGTCCAAGCCCGGGAGGGCAGCAACAGCACTACAGCTGCAGCCTCGGCCACGTCCCTGATGGAGAAAGAAAGCTGCTTCTCCTTCAGGAACATCCATTCCCACCCCCCAGTCCTCTCTGATCTCAGCCTCACATCCGAGTTCTTTTCAAGCATAACTTCAGGATCTCCCAGGAAAGTGGGGCCTAAGACCCACGGACACAGAGATGATTCACTAGCTACTTTCCCACTAGACATCGCTGGACACCATGAACTGCGCTGACCAAGGCAATAAAAACCAGAATATAATTGCCTTTCTTCCAAAGCAAACAGAAAAGGAGAAATGATCCAGGAATGGCATTCTCTCACTGATGCACAGAATTCACTCACTCTTCATCACTCTTCTACAGAAGTGATTGGGCAATTTGCTCCTTGAAGCCCACAGTCTCTTTGCAGAGTCCTGCATGCAGGAGAGCAGGGGCTCTGGGTCACACCTGGTTTAAATCCCAGATCTTCTATTACAGTGAAGTGACCTTGGGCAAGTTACTTTTCTCTGAGCCTCAGTTTCCTCATCTGTGAAGTGGGGATGATAATAATAGTTATAATTCTATGAGGTTAGACTGCAAAAGTTCTCAACTGGGGGCACTTCTGCTCCCTTTGGGACACCTGTCAATGTCTGAAGACATTTTTTTTCTTGTCACAACTGGGTGTAGGAGGGTGGTGTTACCGGCATCAAGTGGGCAGAGGGCAGGAATGCTCTTAAACATCGTATAATATATATGATAGCCTCCCCACAACAAAGAATTATCCAATCCAAAATGTCAGTGGTGCCAGGTTGGGAAACCCTAGACAGGAGTGAATATTTAGCGAGGTTATTATGCATACAAAGCACTTAGAAACATCTGGTTTACTTTTTATAAGCTCTCAAAAAACAGAAGCTACTATTCTTTGTGGAAGAGCATAGTCTTGCCCTTCCATTGCCGGACTTGAACCATGGGAGTGGGATGCGGAAATCCTTGAGTGCCGAGAACCCAGCTCACTGCTCCAGGTGTGAGTCATCCCATAAATACCAACTTATTTTATTTAAAGCAGAGCTGAGGCTGCACACCTGACTCAGGGCTAGAAGCCTTCCCAGGTTGTCGTGACTCAACTAGCTGGGCTGGAAGGAAGCAATTTTACCCTGAAGCTCTCCTTCCAGAAGATGCCAGCATTTCAAGGCTCAGAAGTGCTCAGTGCTCACTTGCAGTGGGTGTCATGTTGTTTCTTACCTCACCTCACACACAGTTGGGCTTGGAAAGGCCTGGGGAAAGTAGCTGAAACCAGGAGTCCCAAATCTTGTCCTCACTAGTCTGTAGAGGTTTGTTCCTCTCCTGCAACCTGATGTGAAATTCCTTCTTGGGAGTTGCAACTTTGGGTCAACAGGTTCACTCTCTCCCAGTAATACACATTAGTGTTAGTGGATAGATTTAAAGACAGATAATATTGATAGGGTGGGTGGGTGGGTCGTCGCGGGGACGGAGAGAAGTGTCGAGGGAAGCTGGGTAAAGTACATGAGCACTGGGTGTCGTAAAGAAGGAATGGTGAAAGAGGGAGAAGGCAAAGGCAGGCCAGGGAATGTCTGCAGACTCTGGCCCTGTGCCCACATCTTTCCTGAGAAGCGGTGTGCCCAGAGGCAAACAGGTGGTGGAAGAGGCAAGCCCTGCATCCAGGCTTGCTGATACTGACCTGTAACCCACCATCTGGCCAAGCTCTACCTCTCCCTGAGTCACAGAAATGAAAACCCTGTGGTTGGAAGCAGCTTTAAGGGCCCCCAGCTTCTTTCTTACCCATCATTTCCCACGCCAGTCAGTAGCAGAGCCAGTTTATGCAACAGAGACTGTCCAGCTCCAAAGTATGGGCTCTATCTGGACCATGACCGCAAACACTTTAGTGGCCAGGCAAATGACATAGGTTAAGTGGCTGGGTGTAAGACAACAGGGGCTGGGGCTGTGAGGAACTGCAGGCTCTGCTCGAAGGCATTCAAATTCAATTAAAAAAAACATTGGGCCAGCCAAACAAAACTTATCTATAGCCTGAGTGAGTGGGTGAGGCCTCTAGATGGTTAAGTTTGCTGCCTAAATGGTCTTCCGTATCCCCTGACAACCAAGATGTCTGTTGGATGCAGATCTCCAGAAACAGACTTCAAGCTATGAACCACTGTCTGCAAAGTGGTCCTGAGCAGGTCTTTGCTCCAACACTTCCAGAGGCTGGGTGATCCTTACTTCCCCAGACAGCCTTGAACGGGGCCTGCTTACCCGTACCATTAGAGCCACTTACCACACCTGCCTGTTGTAGACCACTTATTGGGGTGGGGTGCCCAGGTAGGGGCATATCTTTTATTTTGCAAACTTTTTTTAAGCGTGGAAATATTTACTTTATTATAAATAAAATACAAGCTCACTGTGGAAACACTGGAAAATATGGAAAAGCAAAAGTTAGAAAAGAAAAACTATCCATACCTCCCTTAAGCACCTCCCCTACCCCTTCCCCAACGCCCACCCCCACCCACCATTCAGAGAAAAGCATTGTTGACACCTTGGTGCACATCCAGACTCCAAGTCCTTTTTTTAAATAAGTAAAGCTCTAATCTTCTTTCTGGCTCCATAATCTGTAAACCCAGCGAGGAGATGCTTCACGCACCGCTCACACCACGTTGCTTCTCTGGCTGTGGAAAGGGATTGCACCACGCCAGCCGCACGCTCTCACCAGACCTGGGTTTCAACACACAGGTCTGACCTGCGCAGGCCTTTAGCCCCCCAACCTCCTCGAGGGCAGGCACTAGAACCTATCTTATCCTCAGAGACTCTACAGCACCAGGCTCACGGCAAGTGCTCAATATAAGTGTTTCTAAATACACACCCCTGCCCCGCCCCGCTCCCTCCACAACCAACACACCTGCCTCAGCCGCTACGACCCGGAGCACAGAGGAAACACAACCAAAGCCTGAAGAGAGAGCACGCCTCGCCGTCTCCTAGGTAACCAGGTCCTAGGTTGGGGAGGGGGGCCCACGCATGCGCACGCTCACCCTTCCTTCCCGTAACCTCCAGAAGAAAGCAACCCTGAAGACTGCCAGAAGCCGAGCGCGCATGTGTAGTTACACCAACACCCCTACCGCCTCCGCCTTCTGTCGATCCGTCAGCCCAGCGATCTCTTCTCTATAAACACTGTCCGGAAATAGTGCCCATTCCTGGAAACGAGGCCTCGTTAACCAATCGTTGCTTGGGGCAGTAGGACAGAACTGGCTGGGACTCGCTGTCTCATTGGTTAGATTGGAGGAGTGGGCGGGGCCAAGGGTCTAGGTGAGGCCAAAGCAAGGAGGCGCGAAGCGAGGCAAATTTGCTGCCGCCGGCGGAGGCGTGGCCCCGGGGATGGCCGGGAAGGCGGTGAGGGGGCGGGGCCCGAGGCGGGGCGGGGCGACCGTGGGCCCTGAGAGCAGCGGTCGGCGACCGGCGGCGGGAGATCGAGGACGAGGGGAGCGTGACACTCGCTGGTGGGGGAGATCGGCGCTCGGCCGGTAGGTGACTGGAGCGAGTCCCGGGGCGAGGGGCAGAGGGGATTGGTCGCTTCTCAACCCGGGGCCGGGCTGCGGCCCGGCCCGCCGCCCCGGAATGGTGGGGGTCAGCGACGCGGCCGGGGGACCCACTCGCGCGCGGGCCCTCGGCCCTGGCGGCCGGCCGCCGGCGCTCCCTCACGCACGCTGCCGGGGCCACGGTCTCACGCCGTGCTCAACCAGCACACCCGCAGGCCACACGGTCGCCCGAAGCGCGCGCAGGGACGCCTTGCTTCCCCTTCTCCAACATCCTTGTTCCTCCGCGCCAAGCTGCCCCACCGCCAGGCCTGCCCCTCCTGCTCTGTTCCCTGGATGCCCCCCAGGATGAGGGCTCTCCTCGGCACCGGGCGGAAGGTGCCTAACGCCCAGGTGCGCCGGGTCCGTGAGCCCTCCCACCTGTCCGGGCAGTGAAAACCTCAGGCCTTTCCTGGGAAGTTCTGGGGTCACACCCCGAGCCTGGGAGAAGAGGCAGAACCTGCCCTTGCCACCCAGCGGGGCAGTGCAGGCTACTCGCAGCATATCCTCTTTCTCTCCCTGACCCGTCTGTAATTCTTCTGTCCACTCCACTCAGGACGTTATCTGTCGGCTCAGATAAAATATCCCACCTTGGAAGCCCATCGTGGCCCTGGCATCCTGCAGCCACCGGGCACCAGGCAGAAGGAGGCCACTTGTAAAGCACAGAGAGTCCCACCTGCCCGGGAACCTCCTCGGTGCTGGGTAACTTCAGAAAAAGCCGATTTTTCCTAATTGAAGTTAAAATATTGCTCTCAGTCCTAAGGGTGGACTAGGGGATGAATGGAGAAAAGAGACAGAAATCAGTGGTGTAAATGGTAAAATTATTATTTTTTAACTGGGGGACAGTGAGTACCTGTCCCTTGATTAAGAACTTGAAAAGCAGATGAAGCTAAATGATGAGAGGTGGGGCCTAATACAAAATAGAAGTCTGAAGTTTATTCCAGGAAAAATGTTGAAAACCCCTTGACTAGAAACATGGTCTTTCTGAAAGATGAGAGGGAGATAGTATCTTAACATTAGTGATGTGTTTTTTACTTAGTATCTTCATACCTGTAACCTCCTTTTTCCTTCAGATGTCTGTGTGATAAGATAGTATTGTCCTGCTTTAGAGGTGAGGCATCTGAGGCAGGTGTGTGTTTGTCGGGGGCGGGGGTGTAAATAGATCTTGCCTAATGCCTCATAGCTAGGACTCAGGGTGAAGACTTGAACCTGGGCCACTGGAGTCTTTCCCAGGCTCCTTGCCCTGGACCAGGACCACATTATGGGACTTAAGATGCAGGACAGAGGGAGAAGTGTTTGCTGGGGTATTTATGCTTTTAACATGAGAGAACAGGTGCTTGTCTTACAAAGTGTTTGGATTTACTCTTGCTGTTTTTTAAGTGATGTCAAAGTCAGTTCCTTTGGTGCAGCAATGCCAGACATGTGAGATTTTGAGACACCTTGAGGACATCCTCGTTTATTTTGAAGGGTGTGGTGAACTTCTCAGAAGGCCTCAAAGTAAAAGTACTAGTCTCTGACTTTAATTTTAGAAATATATACCCAGGTATATGTTCCAGCACTTTTGTGAAATCAGACAGCGGTAAGCCGCCAAGCTTTAGGTCGCCTTCTGACTGTTTCCAGAGTATAAGGAGCAGTTAGCTCTGAAGGGGGTTTTTTGCCCCTGGTATTGTCAGTTAGAGTTTGTGGGAGCGGCACCACAGAGACCCTGCCAAATGAGCCTTCATCTATTAAACAAAAATGTCTGGTTGGCCATTTCGCCTCAACAGACGGAGGTTTGGTTCCTCATTTTGGTTCTCCTGTTGAACACTGACTCCATTGTGATCTGCTTGGAGTGTTTGTATATCACTTAATGTTGAGAAGCAGGCCTGCCCTGATTGGTTGTCCAACTCCAGGCAGCTGTTGTGATTTTGTTTGGTGCGTGGTAACAGTTCATCCTGACCAGGGTCTGGTGAGAGACCTGTAGATATGTGAAAGAGGTAAAGCCCGATCCAGGGTTGTTTTCCTCATTGTTGGCACCCTCTTAAGAGTGTCCTATCACTTTGGCCTGCAAAGTCACTTTTAATTTCCTATTTTTTTCCTGTCTCTATGGGCAGCACATGAGCTTTCCTAACAGGCCTGCCTGCCTTGATGAAGAGCTGAGAGATTCATGTTGGTTGACCTGACACATGTTTTTTTCTGGGAGAGTAATTAAGAAATCTTAAAACCAAATTCAGTCCTAAATCAAAAGTGTAAGTCAGCTTGATACACACATAGGCAGCATCTTTTGTACCAATGGCTTCCATCATCTCAGAGGTGTTTTTTTTTTTTTTTCCTGGCAAAAGGTTAAAATGCAACTAAAATTCTGCTTTCATGATTAATAAGTCACTACCGCAGTTGTGTCTGATGCTTCCTGTTTGCCCCATTTTAGTATTTCAGTTAAACTGGAAACATCTGAGCCTTATGGGCACTTTTGATGGCACCAACGTGAAATTGGCGGGAAGGGGGACAGTTCCCTGTCAGTGGATTTAGGGAGCTTTAAGGATAAGCCAGCCTCTCTGGCCGCCGCATGCCTGAGATCCTTCAGCAGGGAAAGGAATAGGGGGTTGAGCACCTTCAAGGACTAGGTGAGCGTTTAGAGTGATGCACGTGTGAAGGCTTTGCATTTGCTTGGTGATGCTGACTGAAATGTTGAAAGCAGTAGATTCGAAATGGAAGGCCAAACATAGGGCAGATTGTGTGGTAGAACATTTCAGTTGAGCTGAGCAAGACACTGAAGTATGCTGGATTTGAGGTCTTCAGTTCTGGCCTTGTCTTACTGCCTGAGTGACAATGCAGAGAAAAGTCACTTTTTCTCAGAAGCCTGTGCACCCTTCTTTGTACTCTATCAGTAGTTTAAAAGATCCCCTTCCTGTGGTTGCCAAGGTGGGGGGGCAGGATTGGATTGGGAGTTTGGGGTGAGCAGATGCAAGCTATTACATATAGAATGGATAAACAACAAGGTCCCATTGTATGGCACAGGGAACTATATTCAATATCCTGTGATAAACCATAATGGAAAAGAACATGAAAAAGAATATATATATGTATAATTGAATCACTTTTCTATACACCAGAAATTAACACATTGTAAATCAACTATACTTGAATTAAAAAAAAAACAAAGATCCCCTTTCCCTTGCTATTTTATACCCTTTAATCTCTTATCCTCCTGACATAAATCCTTTGAAATTGTATGGCATCCAGAGTAATGGTACTTAGTGGCTATTTTCTGTATTTTCTCACAATACTCCCGTAAAGAAAGGCAGAGACAAAGATCAGGAATGTGAGGCCTAGTAAGGAAATAAAGGGGATGAGATTACTCAGGAAATCAGTGTCATGCCTAGAAGCTAAACCCACGTTTCTTGATATCTAGTTCACTGCCTCTTCTACTAACTTACTCATGAAAGGGTAAGTTGTTTTCTTTTTTTTTTTTTTTCCAAAACAGGTCAGTTTTGAATATAACTAAACCAGGGTAGCTGCTTTATTTATCTATTTATGTTAACAAGTATTAATTAATAAGTGTTAACAATTAATTATTAGTTGATATTGATTGTCCATAATAATTATTATTAACAAAAGTCTAAAAGATGAATAGAGCATCCTCTGGGCGAGTCTGCTTATCCCCATTTTACAGATGCAGAAATTAAAGCAGAGTGGTCAAGTGATTTGCCAGGAGCGGTAGAGCAAGTCCACGGCATCTTCGTATCCAACTTGGGGGTTTAGGCTGTCGGGTCAGGTCCAGGTCTGCCACTGTCTGCCTGTGTGATCTCAGGCAAATCACTTCTCTTCTCCAAGCATTGGGTGCCTCGTCTGTAAATACTTCGTGGTGTTGTTTTCAGTAGAAAAGGAGAGAATGTATGTAAAGTGCTGAGCTTGGTGCCTGGTACAGAATAAGTCATAGGACACAATGGCTATAACTGCTGATGGTGGTTGTAGTAGTAATCGCAGTACTAGTAGTTGCCGATTACCACTTTGACTAGACCTGTTTTCTGTAAGATGACGTCAGGAAGGGTCACACTGCCTGATAAGGGCAGTCATTTTCTCAGCAGGACCTCCTGGGGGACATTTCTTCTGTCTAGAGGGTGTAGCTGTCAGGTTTTCCCTGTCTTACACTAAATACTGCCCTTACCACCCTCCAAACGAGTCTAAAAAATCTCGGGCTCTGCCTGGTCAGAGTTGGCGAACCTAACCCTTGGCCACCCTCGGCCCTCCCAGGGCTCTGAGCAAGAGGCAGAGCTGAGCCTTTCTAGGGCCGTCCTGTGTCCCCCGTGCAGCGAAGTGGGTCCCACCCTTAACTCTGGAGGGAAACAAAAGGAAAACACTGTGTAGAATATAAGTCAGCAAGGACTCATTCTTCTCTGTTTGGGAGACCAGGAGGGAAACCTGGGTTCTGTGGGGCAAGGTTCCCACCACCATGTGGCAGCCTCAGCTCACTACGCTTTGTCGACTTATTGCCAGTCTGGGGGCCCTGGATCCGCAGTCAGGGACTTGCAGATTTCCCTTTAAATCACCCAAGAAAAAAACCAGTTTCACATTATATTTTAAATTCTTTTTTTTCCTCTTCATAATACAAAACAAAAATACAGGCTCCCACCAGGCTGACGTTGCCTTTAAATAACATTTTGTTTTCTCTTGGGGAAGCTGCCTTCGTGGCCAAAGAGTCATTTCTAAAGTGAACTTAGTTTTTAGAAAAAATAGATTACCGGATGTCAAGCCTCGTGTGGAGCTCAGTTCAGATGAAAATGAAACCAGCAGATCTGGAGTGGCAGCTCCACACTTCACTTCAGGCTGGAGGTGAGAGGCAGAGTGTGTCTGGGCCCAGCTCGGTAACTGGTCGGCCCCACAGGGTGGATTTGATAGGCGCCTTAGTCATTTTCCAGGCAGCTTTGCTTAGGTGAGCAGAGCACTTTCTCTGGAAGGTGAGTCACCCT